CGAATCGAGCGGGCCCTTAACTCACTCCGGTGTTGTTTCACCTCTGTTTGATACTGAAATGGTCGATCGAACCGATTAGTAACCGCTCTTGTAAAACGGGCTTGGTTTCAGGGGTGGATCTGTCATTATCACTACCTACTCGACGTTTCTCAAGTGTCAGGAGTTCATATTACCATTGGCATGGCACTATGTCGTGTTGGACGAAGGGCACAAAATTCGTAATCCTAATGCTCAGGTAATCGTCTTTTCACGTCTAATCTCATTTATCTTCTTAAGTTCTACTTTGTTTCTCGGCTTTCGAGATTACATAGTTTCTGTTGCTGCCCCTTTAACTTCAGTTTTGCTAGAAATTTTCTTTTCTCTCGTACCAATTTCTTCCTTCTTTCTAGACAATCTTATCTTATTTATGAATTTCTTAGCAAGCACCGCCCACTAAGTAAATGCCACCCTCCCATCGCAGATGGGCCTCTCTAGTTAGAACCGGGCAGCACGGTGCACACCTTCACTCATTTTCCCGGTCTCTGGGCTTTAGATGAACTGAATCACTTTGACGCATAACCGCCCACCTTTCTGTTTTGTACTCCTGACCCATTTTCCAGACATCCCAATATTGACTTTGGCTTTCCAAGTGGTTCCTCAGGTAGGACTGAATTCCGTGGCAGACAGACGAAGCGAGCTACTAGTATGTAGGTTCATTCGTGGTCACACACATAAAATTCTCCCTTCCTAATAATTACACGATTCCCCTGACCTGGAGTGAGGAGAATGCTTAACGTCATCCACTTGTCTTCTAGAGGGGTAGCTATTCTGATAGATAACATCTCTTTGCTTAACCATGAGTATTTTTCAGATAACTGTGGCTGTTAAGAAAATCCATACGCCGTGTCGTCTAATACTCAGCGGCACACCGCTTCAAAATACACTCGCAGAAATATGGTTAGCAGTTTGATCGTTCTGAGTTGTACCAGCAACTTGTTAATTAACTCTACAATCAGGTCATTAATGGATTTTGTTTATGCTGGAAGACTTAATACTCTGGAAACATTCAATGAGAGATTCGCGGTGCCGATTACGCAGGGTGGTTATGCAAGGTGGTATAAGGAATGTTAACAAGAGAATCTCAGCAAGCTCAAGCAACCACTCACGCTAACTTCCGATAGTGAGAACAAATCATGCAGGTCGTTGGTTTTGAAGAATTGGCGCTGCTTCGGATCCTTCAGTACACGATTTGCAAGAAATTGCTTGAAAATTTGCCTAAGAATACGAAGCTTGCGCAATAGCTGCTTAAATTTGAACTGAAAATAAAAATACCTATGATAGACTTTTTCTTCAATAGTGCCGGCTAACATAAGCCTGTAAATCGTTACAGCACGTTCTTGACCAATACGCCATGCTCTCTCCTTAGCCTGGGTATCGGTGGAAGGATTCCAGTCAGGATCGAAGATTACCACCTAAAAAGCGAAGAGGATTCAAGCAAATAGAACTGCAAATGTAAACAAAAACATCAGAACGATGTACAGGACATCTACAAGGTATGAA